ATCGGTCGCAGCGCTATTTTTAGAAAGAAAGAAATCGTGAAGTCCACTGGACGTAACAGTACGATTTCGCGAGTTTCGCGACGTGACGCGTGAAAGACCGCGTCTGGCGCCCAACCTTCGTTTTCGCGTGGAGCCTTCGGTCCGCGGCACGGTACGCGCGGAGCTCCCGAGGTCCTGCTCCTTTCCAGCGCGTTAACCTATCCCCTTGGTTTTTGCCGACGACCCGATCCGTCCGCCTCCCGCGCTTCTCGCGCCCGGCGACCGTACTCCCCGTCGTCGGCGCGCTTCGCCGTAAGATCCGCGCGCGACCGCGAGAGCGGGACGGCAACACCCGTCCGTCCGCGTACAACGGGAGGGCGGAGAAAATTGAAAGAAAGGAAAACCTCGTCGCAACCCATACGCACACATAACTTTCACTTCCCCTCTTCCCTCTCTGCCTTTCCTCTTCTCGTCAGAAGATTCCTGACGCCCCCGCGCAGAAATAAAAAACGCGGGTCGTAACAATAGGATATGTCATATACACTGATGTATATGCAACGTATATACATTGGATGTCAAAATGCTATCTGGGTAGTGAGACCGGGCATAAGAATCTCGTTTCCGAAATAGCTCTTCTGGAACCGCGAAAACGCATCATACAGACTCGACCATTTGTTTTTATCGAAATCCAGATTCATATCATGCATCGTATGGATAACATTCCGAATTCAGATAGAGTTTCACGTTGGTCAATTTGTAGTGACTGAATTGGCTCACATTCTGTGACATGATATTTTTCCGACCTGTTTGCAGAGCAAAGATAAGATACTGCGGCTTCTCGAGCTGAGTAGCCGTTTTAATAGCCCATGAATCTTTAGTCGTCTGTTGCAATAGCGGATACTCGTACAGATCCCATGAACGAAATCCCATATTGAGGTATTGTCCGCTTTCCAAAGCACGCAGCATCGACAGTTTGTTCACCTCGTTTAACAACACATGCGGCATGCGCCACTGTATCTTGAATATTTCAAGTTTAGGCTCCATCGCTGCATTTCCAAAGAGACAGTTGTTATCATTGCGCGATCGTATTAAAATCAATTCGTGACGGGCGTTAATCACCACGCGTTGATAATCTTCACAGAATCCCAATAGCATGCTGAGTGGTACACAAAAATTAAAGTCGCCAGTTCCATTGTTCACCACATCCCAGCCGGCATTCTTCAGAGACATCATTTTATCGAACGATGACGAGACATAGGTCTTGAGCGTGCTGGTTATTCCAACATTTCTGGCGCGATCAATCTCCACACCATCAAGTTCATATCGGATCTCGTCGAACATGAACGCGACACAATTATTTCCCAGTACTACATCAGATCCTTCGATTTGATTGGCAGTAGTTAGTTTTCCCTCGATGTACAGAAAACTTTCATGCGGCAACGTATAGAGATCCTGTTGTATTGGTATTCTTATCTCATCGCTGTGCCCGAATGTAGTGTTGGCAAACGGATTGTACGAGTGAGTCTCAATCTTGACGATGCGCTCGTCGAAGATTGGCTCTTCGTTGATATTGAGAATATCAATCATTGTTTGCGCACTGCGAATCCCAAAGAGGTTAAAAATTCCACGTTCAATGCGTTGAGTTTCTTCTTCTTGCAACAACTAGACGACTGGATATCACCGAATCTCGATGTCGCGGGCTTGGTGGTATCTTTTACAATTTGTTCCGATCCGTTCAGCACGAGCATCTCATGCACACTCGCGCGCGTTATCGCTGTCGTCGGCGTACGTGCAATCTGAGGGTGATTTCTTCTCCGCGAAAGTCGAACAATTGACTGTTCTGATCCACAACGCGTACCGTTAAATCGGTAATGCTCTGTGCGATGACTGGCAGGTAAATGATCTGCATCGGCGTTTCCGATATCTTATATCCTGGTGACACGTTCGGCGAAAATTCGTGTATCGTGTGCACAGGCTTGCTGCTGCTGTACGCACCCGCGGTCACGTTGCACTCTACGCGGATAATGTTCACATTGGTAATGTTGATTGGCAGGTCTGATTCATGCCATTTTCGCGGTTGCAGTATACGCGTCGATGAGAATCCCAGTAGCGATCCAATGTTGTTGGGCTTGCTAAAGTTTATTTCGAAGGCGCATTTGATCAATTTTCATCGTGTTGTAATTAGCGCGGAGCACAATTGGGTATTCATCGTCTTCGTCGTCACCGTCGTCGCGTTTTTCACCACCATCATTAGCTAGGAACCGACGTGGACGTTTCCATGAAAGTGCGCGTTTCAAAAATTCATTTATGACCTGCAATTCATACGATCCTACGGGAATTGTAATTTCCGCGTCGTCATAGTAAAATTTATTATTCGAAGCATTCACATTCGACATCGTATTGTAAGTCTCAAAGTTCATCAGACCGAGCTCGTAATCGTCGTCGCTCAGGTCTATGGCTGGAAAATA